GTTTTAATTGCCAGCTACTAGAGTTACTGTGGTGTTTAATCTAGCAAATTGAAACTAATGTGAAATGCAGTTAAAATGAATCTAGTTATGACAGGGAAATGACTCAGTTGCTTTCAACCTAGACTTCTCAGAATATATGTTAAAAGATAAAATAAGGATACTAATTGCACTAATCAGGTTTTATAAGGATTTTCCTCTTCAACAGAAGGGAAAAAAAAGGCAAGTTAGCATCAGAAAGGGAAATGCCACCAGTTTCATGTATAGGATCCCTGCTCCCCAGCTGCAATCTTGGTTCCTTTTGGTTTGATGTTAACAGCGCAGGCTGGGCCCCTTGAACTCAGCACCTTGTTTCTGATGAATCAGTGAATGAGCTCGATTGAGTACTTCCTGTGTACCAAGCCCTAAGCTCAGATCTTGGAGAGAACAGCATGGAAAGTGGAGACTGATCTGTGCTGTTTTACAGACCACAGTATAGAATCTCTGCCATGCACCACATGGAAGGCCTACTCATTCAATACTCTCATCTGTTATCAGGGGGTCTCATGAGATGCCACTGTGGTGGTCTCTACCACTCTGTAAGGTAGGTTGCATGAAGGTAAGGCCACTTCTGACAAGAACAGTGGACCTGTAGCCCATATTTACTCAGTCTACCAGAATCAAGGCCTAGGGTGCTTGACAAGACCTTGCCCCCGGGGGTGTAGGGGGCAGGGGGCATGGACTCATTTCTCCCTCCACCTCACGGTGACTGTGGCCCTCTCCCCATCACATTATGAGCTGACAGGGGGCTGTAAGGGATGTTAGGTACTCATGCAGAGGCCACTAACACACACGCCAAGTAGGCCACATCGCCAGGATCCATGCAGCACAGCCGTTTTCTGCACACAGCAAAGCTGCCCACACAGCAACACCAGCTCACGACCTGCACTAGCGTGACTGCCAGAGTTCACAGAGGGAAATTTGGAGTTTTTTTTTTTTTTTGGAGATGAGCTATGGTTTGAGCCAATTTAGTTCATGGTAGAGTCACATGGCCTTCTCCCTGGCTGCTGCAGAAGATGCACGAACCGCGCAGCCCCAAGGGTGGTCGGGTCTCTCCTCCTCAAAGCTGCACCCGGAAGATCAAATGCCGAGGCCTGAGGCTGGGCGGCCACGTGTGCACCTTCTGCAGAGGGGGCCGTGTGGTCTTTGGCAAATCCATCCCTAGGAAAGAAGCTGCAGACACTCGCAAAAGAAAAGGGGGGTGTGGAGGGGGAAAGCACCAGAATCCCGCCCACCCTAACGGAAACAACAACAGAAAAGAACCGGAAACAAAAAAAAGAAAAAAAAGAAAGAAACGTTGAGGGAAGAAAACCAACTGAACTTACCATGCTGCGAGTGAATTTTTCTAGGGAAGTTCTACGACCTTGCTCACTTTCTGGCTTTGGGGGGAGGGGAACAAAAAAGGTAGGGAGAAAAATACAGGGAAAAAAAAATCTTCAGCTTAGACGTGGTTTCCAAACAGCAGCAGCCTCAGCTAAAGAACAAAAAACAAAAGCAAAACAGGGCGAAAACCGGGGAAAGAGAAGCAGCCAGCGCTGTTTGCGAGAGTCAGTGGAGGAGACAGAAGAGAGAAGCCCGGGAGGAGATGGTGCTGCCTGCTCGGAGCAGTGAGTGGGGAGGGAGTTCGCTTCTGCAGGGACACTTCATCTCCCTTCAGGGCTTGGGTGAAGAGCCCCCACAGCTGTCCGCAGGGCCTCAGTCAGCTGTTTTGAGCTGCTTGCTCGTTACTTTCAGTCGGCCTTGCCCAGGTGTAGGAGGCCACAGCCAGCCATCTGGGACCCCAGGTGAGCGCTGGTGAATTTGAAGGTGACACAGAACAGACTAGCTCTGAGGGCTGGGGTGGAGTTGGGGGTATTCTGATGGGATTTCAGGAAGGACCATGAGGGAGGTGAAGTCATAAGCTTCAGGAAGTCTCAGGAAGGACTTGTTTTCTCTCAGATTTTCCTGCCCAGAGGCAGCCAGAAATGTTGCTAACTTCGGTGACTTCCTACTGACCCCCACTCAGGGCCCTTAAAACAAGGAGGGTCTGCCTGTGTCCTTCTCAATGACAAAGGGTCTTAGGCCCCCAGAAGACAATAACATGAGGAACATTCTGCACATAAAAGTCTCTCTCGGTACCAAGGCAGAACTTCCCAAGGTTTACTCATGATGGACTGCAGGAGGCTCAGGTGACCAGCAAAGCTCCTTGGGGAACTCTCCGCTGAGGTGCCCAGGACAGGGGCAAGATGAGGCAAAGCTCTTGAATGCTCTCCTAAGCCTAGCCACTCTCTATAATAGGAGGAGAGGGGATGGTGTGTACCCAAACCTCTCCCCCAACTTTCCTACCTGCAGGGATTTCAGGAGAATACAGTTACAACCCAAATACCTCCTAGGTTATGCTAGAGCCCCATTCCAGGGTCCTGAACCTGGGACTCGGAAATTCAGAGTACTCACACTCACATTTACCTCTCTCTCTCTCTCTGTCACACACACACACACAGCACCCAGCAAATAATTAAAATTAGGGAGCTGAAGAAATAGCCAGGTGGGTCTGCAGGATTTGCTGAGAGCAGAGGGGGCAGGCAAAAGTCAGCCATCTGCCTATGTGGATGAAGTCTCGGGTGTCCTTGGCAGCAGTGCCCCTGTCCGCCCAACCGGCTGCCGGAAGACAGATACAGGGAAGTAGAAGGAAAACACAACACGAATGACACACCACCACAGAGCTGAGCTGCTTTTTTCTCTTTGCACAAGGGAATTGAAAGACACACACTTGGACCTGGGGACCAGACCAAGTCCCCACTCGGGGATGGCAGGTCTCAGCCTCAACCCAGTGGGCAGACCAGGCAGCATACAATTGGCTCAGATCAGGAGCTAGCATTCTGTTCCTATAATTCTTGTCCCCTGGCTACCGAGCTGCCGCTCACAGATGGTAGCGGTTGGCCTGACTCTCTCAGGTTCTGGTGCCTTTGCACAGGCCTTCCATGCTGCCCTGGAAAACCACTGCCATTGCCGCTTAATTGTCCCAGGAGTAGCCCTCAAAACCCAGCTCACCTACCTCTTGAGAACCTGGTTCTTTGGGGCAAATATCTTTTTCTTTGACAGGATGAGAAAAGTGGATGAATTAGGGACAAAGAGTCAGTAAGCTGGGTCTCCAGACCAATCTGGGGCCATTATTAGCAGAAAAATGAGGCCAGTTCATACCCCCCTCTTAGCTGGAGGTTGTGAGTCTCACATACCTGTTATGACCTGGACACTTATATCCCATGGTCAGCCCATCCCTGAAATCAGAAGATACTCTAGGCATACCTGGAAGTGTCGAGATACAAATCAGGTCCATGCCTGGAACTCTCAGGGAGAAATAAATGGCAGGAGAAAATACGTGTGTCGCTGTCTTTGGAAAAGATTAATTCCTGATATCTGAAAGGGTGTTGTCATCTGCAAGGGCTTTCTGCCCCAAGAACATCCCCTCATTTGGGGGCTGGGAGGAACATCCTAAGGAACTCTGCAACCTTTCACAGGAAGGCAGTCAGTTCCTTCCTCACCCTGTAACCTCTTCTGAGAAGGTTTCCTCTTATCACGGAGGACTTGCAAGTACAGATATCTCAGCACCACTCCCTCATTTCCTGTGCATTTTCCCTTTGTGCTCAAATCCACACTGAGACTCAGTGGCCTCTGACTTTTCCTCTTCTAGGTGTGCAGACAGGCCCAGAATTTCCCCAAATTGTAAGCAGTTCAGGTGTCTTGAGCCTACAAGAACTATGGAAAACTTACTTTGACCTTCCCCCATGAGATCTGGGCTGGAGACATCTAAAGTCTCCATAACCTTTCCCATGCCCCCAGTTCTTGAAAAAACAGTCACCAGAGCTGTTTCTGGGGGTGTCAGAGATCCTCCACCAACATCCTTCAGCAAGGGAAGTGGCAAGAGGTCAGATTTCATACTCTTCCCATCATAGTAGCTACACCTTGTGGAAGGGATGCAGGCAACCCAAGAAAGCTGCGTTTCTGACAACCCAGGCATTTCAGAAGTCCCTTTCTCTTTTTCAGACTATTTGGGCTCTTCTCAGGGCTACCCAAGGGCAGGAGAGCAGGACAGACATGCTCTTCTAGACTCTGGAGTGATGTGGTACCAATCATATATGCAGACAGGATCCTGGCACACGAGGTCGACAGTACACAGAGAGAAGGGCTGTGTGGATGAGGAGGCAGCCCAACGGACAGTGTGTTGATGGACAACTACATGCTGCGGGAGGGTGGCTAGGAAGAAAGAAGGAGGGGGTGCATGAGTTCCTAAGTGGCATGGCACGAAGTTGTGGAATCTGTTGTAAACAGCCACACTTAACCACACACAGGCCTCAGACCAGAGCTGAAAGGTGAGAGGGTTTGCAAGCATACTGGAATCAAGAGTCCTCTCTCTTGTCTCCCCTCTCCCAGGCCTCCCTGCCCCTCCCGGCTTTCCCTTCCCTCCTCCCAGAAGTCCGTTGTGTTCATCCCCTGCTCAATCACTCCTTGCCACCTGCATCCTGTGGGTCACTGGGCCCCCAAATCTAAGACTCTAAGGGGCTGCAGGGAACCATGGCTCAGTTCCAAGAGGAGGAGGAATAGTTGCTTCTTGGTTAAAAAAAAAAGGGTTACCACTCTCAGGCTGGTGAGGGAGAAGAAGGAGGGTGTCAAGCAGGGAACAATCCCAAAGGTGGCTTCAGGAGCTGATCACCCCTTGAAACCTACAAGACTTTTTTCTTTTTTTTTTCTGTCCAATGAGGAGGCTGCCCCAATCCATGCCTCACAATCATCCCTGGGATGGTCAGTGAGAGAAAGTCTGTGGGGAGGGGGCTGGACTTTGAAGTAAGGGGCGCTCTCTGGTTTCCTAAGGGACTAGCTGAGTGTCACCGCTGAGCCACTGTGGCCTTAGTATTTGACCATACTCCCCTCTATGGGCAGAACATGTAGATGGAGGCAATGGGGACGTGGAGACAGGACCTTCGGGTGGACTGGAGTGGGGACCATCCTAATTGTTTTCAATTGGAGTGGAAGGGGATGCAGAAGAGACAGAAGAAAGGAGAAAATAAATAAAACCCAAGGAATGATTTTGCCATTTGACATCAGCAGCAAGCATCAGGCAAGAGTTCACAGTGCTAAGAGAGGCAAGCTTGCCCTTCCCAAAGATACCTTCTTCTTGGCTAACAGCAAGTCCTGGTAAGCATTTGACCGGAGGAAGCGAGCATAGCTGTCACTCTTCATCAGCTTGTAGATGTGTTCCTGGGGGAGGAAGTGGGTGAGAGACACAAGCAAGACCTGTCAGTCAAGGCTGAAGGAAATTACAACCAACCAACCACTGGTTTTCGGAAAGAAACAAAGTGACCTGGGTATGCTCGTATGTGCCTAGAAAATCTTGCAATATGCTCCCCCCTGAGTCAGAAACACCAAACAAAACATATTTTCTCTCTTAGGGTAAAACATCCTTGAGGATCATGTCCCAAAGGCTTTGTAATTGGGCCCTAGTGCTATGTTGGGGTGCAGCATTGCTTAATGATTAAAACCACAGGCGCAGGAATAAAAGCTAATGAACTATTGATACACATGACAGCTTGGATGTATCTCAAGGAAATCATGATGAGTGAAAAAAGCCAATTCCAAAAGATTACATACGCTATGATTCCATTTATATAACATTCTTGAAATGACAAATTATAGAAATAGAGAACCTATTAGGGGTTGCCAGGGACTAGAGGTAGAGGAGGGGAAAGAGGGAAGTGGGTATGGTTATAAAAGGCAACTGGAAGGATTCTTGAGGTGATGGAACAGTTCTGTATCTTGATGTATCTTACACGTGATAAAATTGCATAGAACTAAACACATACACACTCACACATACATACACACACAAACAAGTACTAGTAAAAATGGGAAAATCTGAATAATATCAGTGATTGTAGCAATGACAGTTTTATGGTGGTGATACTGTAGCATAGTTTTGTGAGATAATATTATCGGGGGAATCTGGGTAAAGGGTACATGGGATCTCTGTATTATTTCTTACAACGGCATATGAATCTATAGTTATCTCAAAATAAAAACTTTAATTAAAAAAAAAACAAAAACCACAGGCAACAATGCAACTGGGTCAGTCTTTGAATATGAGGGCTATCATCTCTTCCTGGAAGGCTGTCCTTGGCAACCAGATCATGGGGCATGTGGGCAAATATACCAGGCCTGAGGCTTACATCCAGGAGGGGCAGATGCTGTGGCTTTGTGCCGTCTCCTCTTCTGGGCTCCTAGAGGCATTTGCATTCTGGCCTTGGCAATGAATTTCACCCTTGACTTCCAGCTAATTCCTATAGCCACATGGTCTGTTCCTAACAGATCTGTCCTCATCAAGGGCAGGAAAAGTCTGGTCCATTAAAATAGAGAACTTGGCAGTTGAAATGAAATCCTGTTTAGCCACAGGGGAAAGCTTGGCTGTTCGAAAGAAGGATCTGTTAGGAGGGAAGATGGGCCTTCATTATGGAGGGTGAGATTAACAGTTAGGTGCTGGCCTGGTAGAAGAAGCATCTTCCCCAATGTGTGCTCGTTCTTCAAACTATGAAGACAGACAAGGACTCCAGTGCTCAGGGGGATGGAAAGATGGTCAGTGAGGAGAGAGTGCTCAGCTGAGAGGTAGGACTGGACATTAAAGATCCATCTCTTTCCTGGTTACACTTCCCAGAGAGGGCATAGGAGGGGCAGGCAGAGACTTCCTTGCCAGGTGGAGGCCAAATTTTAGAGCTATCTGGTCAGATGGCTACTGTGTCCCAGAGGAAGCTGGGGCAATGCTAAGATCCTCTCCCTACCAACCACAAGAGAAAGTGAAACCAGAAAGCAAGAAACATCTTGGCTGCACGTGGCTCCTCCTCCTTTCCATCTTCAGCTGGACCCCAAGCAGACTTGTTTGGGGACCAGCTTCATTCTTCCTGAGATGCTCCCATACATACAAAAGTAGGTGGTAGTCCCACTAATGGGAAGGAGCACACTGCATGGGGTCAAGAGACATTACATAGTGGTTTGGTTCTGAGATGATTTTGATAGTTCAGATGTGTTCTGATTTAATAGATTTAGTGTCAATATGCCTAAGTGTTTTTCTGAAACTTTAAGACAACAATACACCCCCCTCTAGTTTAAGTTCTATGAGGGTGGGAACAATATGTTTTCTCAGGGTCAAACGTTAGTTGAATTTACTGAATGACAGCATTGTTTCTTGGCTCACAGGTATGCTTATTTGAATTTAACATTCAGGAAGTTTGCAGGCTCAATACGTGTGTTTGGTTTATGGTTCGGATCAAGATCCTACTCTCCATATGGAAGGAGACTGGGGATTACACTCAGCTTAAAGGAAGTCCATGCTGTGACCATTTTGGCTTGTCCCTGATGGCCTCAGAGCCCAGACTGAGGACACTATTGATCTTTGCTCTCGTTTGTTGTCTCTTTAAATTGTTCTAACATTTAAATCTTAGGTACAAATGCGAATCCAGAGTAAAAATGACCCACTGTCTCCTTCTTGTCTCAGGCATCACTTCTGTCTTGCTGACGGAGCCATGTAGCTCCTGAGTCATCTGGAGTTGCCTGTCACTAATGCCTGGACTCTTTCCAAACCCCAATCCATAGCAACAGGTCCCTGCTTTTTTTCTGACTACCGATAGGAATCTAAATCTCTAGGTATAGCTCACAAAATACTGTGCTACTGCCCCAAGAGGAGTAAGGAAACCTCTCCTAGCCCAGCCCTTCTGTCCTTGGCAACTAATTTCATCCTTGATTCAGCTAATTCCTATAAACTCATTGTGGGCAGGAGAGTCTGGTCCATTATAAGAAAGAACTTACCAATCGAAAAAGAGCACAATAAAGTGGATACCTAAACATTCAATCACAATAATAGTCAACAAATATTTATTGAGTGCCTACTACATGCCAGGCACTGAGTTCACATCCTGAATAAGTCAGAGCAGGTCTCTGATGTCAAAATCTTAGATTCTGTTCAGTTAGACAGACATTACACAAACATGTACATAGCTAATTGAGCTAAGGGCTACAGAGAAGAAGTTCAAGTACAGGGTGTTATGAAGTGATGTAACTGGGGATCATCCTCCCTGCCAGGGGTGGGTAATGGTGGTCTACAAACCAAAAGATAGGAAGATCTGAGTAGACAGAGAGAAACGTATTTCCCAATTCTGTGGTAGTTGGGGAGGGTCTGATCACTCAGTCTGATCAACTCCAGGAAGAAGGACAATCCAGGGGCAAAGACGGAAGAGCAGGAGACAGTGGTGGTCCACTCTCCAGGTGTGTTAAGATGGGTTGGAAGAACAGTTTGGGTACTGCTCTCATCCTCCCCATGTCACATTGCCAACTCTAAAGCTAGAACCAAGGCAAGGATGACGTGGTGACAAAGAAGTGAGTAAAAATATTACCTACTGGAGGGTGGGTTGCACAAGATGGTATTACCCTGCCAACTCCGTTGCTGGCCCTTGACCATCATTTTTGCAAACTCAATTACTCTGTTGTTGTTGTCAGTTGCTGTAAAGTCAACTCCAGCTGATGGCGACCCCATGTGTGCAGACTAGAACTGCAAAGTTTTCAAGGATGTGACCTTTCAGAAGTAGATCACCAGGTCTGTCTTCTGAGGCACCTCTGGGTGGGTTTGAACCACCAACCTTTCAGCTAGTAGTTATGTGCTTAACTGTTTGCGCCACCAGGGACTCCTCAAGTTACTCTACCAAGCAGCAATAACCAAAGCAATAATAGCAGATTCAAGGCACAGGTCTGAGAATCTGAAAACCTCTGCAGGTCCCCCAGCTCCCTGCAGGGCCCATGGCTTCCAGCTCCCTCTGGCCTGGGACTCTCTCTCCCACAGCCTAGGGGTGCAGGGCTCTCCCCTGACCTCCTACTCCTTCCCCAAGCAGAGAAATGGATGCTTTGATGTACCCAGTTTTAGAACTGTGTTCCTTCCTCTGTGCCAGCTTTGTCTAGGAAACATAAAGACAGTAAACAAAGGGTGGGTGAAGGAAGCACTGAGATTTTCTGGGAATGAGAATGAAGATAGGACTCAGGGTCTTTGGCCATTTCCCAAATACAGTGAGTTTATCACTGCCAGGGTCAGCAAGTGTGCAAAGCTCTTGGCAGTGACCTCTACTGATTTATGAGGGGTTCTGTTTTGTTTCCCCTGTTCTGAAGACAACCAGTCTTAAGGGAAATGTATACCTAGAATCTGCAAAGTACAAGGGAACCACAGGTAAAATCAGCCAAGTCCCCACTTAGAGGGAATTCCCAAGGGGATAGAGAAAAAGATGATTTCCCTTCTCTCCTCTCCTCTCCTCCTTCCCTTCTTTTTAAAAAGGAGATGATTGAGTTGACTATGAACAAGCAGAACCACCAGAGTTCATGCCTGCCTTCCTGAGCACCTACTCCAGGGAGGATGAGTTCTCTATAGGTTGACAGATTGAGACTCAGGGCCCTAAATCGCACTAAATGTCTTAGCCACAGTTCTCAGCAGTGGGAGGAATCACACCCCTGCAGGGGTTGACAGTTATAGTACAGGGATGTCACCTGATGAGACATTTCCCCTTCATTTCCCCTTCTGGGGCCTGGGCCCTGGTGATGAGGTGCTCTGCTAGGCTGGGATGCTAAGGCAGAAGCAAGAACAACTGGAATCAGTCAGGTCTGAGACACATGTGGGAGCTAAAGGGAGCGAGCGGGACAAGCTGTCTCAAAACTACATCTGCTACAAATCAATGTTTTGCTGCGAGAGTCCTCCTTTGGAACTCTCCTTCCTTTTTAGACAAAACACAGTGACCCTCACAAGCGTTAGGGGAAGGTAATCAGAAAATGTCTGGGGCCTTGGGCCACAAGCATGCCAGACCAGCTGAACTACTTAAGAACACTCTACATCCTCCCTTTGCTGTGGATTCCTAAAACAGCTAAGGTCTCATTTTCCAGCTTCGGAATATCCTCCTGGAGTGGGAAACCTCTCAGGTGGAGCATTGCACAGCTGCCAAGGGCCCTTCTTGTGATTTACAAGTGCCCTATTTTTCTTTTTGCAGGTGTATGTGCCTCATCTCTGCCCTCCATACCCAAGCTTCCTGGAATAACAGATTTGGCAACTGTTGGGTGCCTTGTAGTCCTCTGAAGGAAGACAGGGCTGTGGGACAGAGTGTGGTGTTGCTGTATGGAGTGATGGAAAGGGGACTGGGCTAGAAGTCAAAGGCTTGGATACAGGTCCTGACCGCCCTTTT